ATTTTTTTCATCGCATAACATTGATTAATGGAACTGGTTTTGCGCAAATCTGTAATAGAAACCAGGATATTGTTCAAAACCCATCCTGCAACATTTGTGCTGCAGACATGAATGATACCTCAAATTTTGCAGCTTGTTGAAGCTTCTAAACTGCACAGCAACACCCTAGAAGAGCAAGAGCAAGACTGTACAACATTCACATTACATGATTTGACTGATTTTTACGTAGAAAGGGCAACAGCGCACTGCATTAAAAGAAATGATCATTCATGTTTTCATAACCGCTGGCCAAATTCAAAAACGAAACAAATTAAATCATCTTTGAGAGCAAGGGGGCCCCCTGGTGTTTCGGGGGCCCTACGCAGCTTGCGTATTTTGCGTATAGGGAGGATCGGCTCTGCACATAGCAATGCCCATCCACAACACTCTGGCTTCATGGTAGTAGGATTTGCACTGAAAACTGCACATTTCCTTAGAAAATGTAAAAATCTAATGTTAAAGTTTGTGTTAAGTCAATTCAGAGAATTGTTTCTAAACACATAATTGTTAGAAATGCATTGCTGAAACATATTACAAAGACTGTGAACTATGTAGTACTTAATTGTGGAGTTTTTTCTGTAACAGTTTTTTTTTCACCATTATTGTGTTCAGTATTTTTTTCACCATTATTGTGTTCAGTATTTTTTTCACCATTATTGTGTTCAGTATTTTTTTCACCATTATTGTGTTCAGTATTTTTTTCACCATTATTGTGTTCAGTATTTTTTTGCTAAAATTGTGTCTCGATGCAATATAGCTACCGAGCATGGCCCCTCTCCTAACACTATAAAAGAGGTGTGTTCGACTTGAAGCAGCGCTGCGCAGACCGATCAATATGTGTGACATCAGAGTACAGTGAGAGCTTTAGAGCAGACGGCTCCTTATGCTTTTGAACTGCTCTTGCGGTACATTGATGTCATACAACGATTGTTCTGCGCAGCGCTGCTTTATGTCGAACACACCTAATGACTAGAGGGCATTAGCATCAGTGGTTTGCCCGTTTAATCGCGAATTACTGTCATTACCGTTAGTTACAACAGCCAGTGTTGCCAAGTCTGCGGTTTTCCCGTGGAACTGGACTACTTTAACACTGTTGCCGCGGGATGGATGGATGGAATGATGGATGACAGAACGATGGATAGATGGATGGACAGAGTGACAGAAAGACAGAATGATAGAAAGAACAACAGAACAATAGGAAGACAGACAGACAGACAGACAAGAAGATAGATGACAGATAGAATCTAACAAGTTGCTTTAAAAACATCTAATATGTAGGTAAATTGCAGTACCGATTATAGACTTCTGGGGGTCCTATGCAAAGCGTAGGAGGGTCGACGAGTTATGAATGAATGAAACGTCTTTGTCCGTGTTCACTCAATCTCGAATCGCGCTCACGGAAAGTGCTTTAGAAACAGTGTCTCTTCCATGGCTCGGTACGCTTTCAACTCTTTTTTCTTTTTTTTTGTCTCGAGCAAGAGACTGTATGACATTCACATTACATGATTTGACTGATTTTTACGTAGAAAGGGCAACAGCGCACTGCATTAAAAGAAATGATCATTCATGTTTTCATAACCGCTGGCCAAATTCAAAAACGAAACAAATTAAATCATCTTTGAGAGCAAGGGGGCCCCCTGGTGTTTCGGGGGCCCTACGCAGCTTGCGTATTTTGCGTATAGGGAGGATCGGCTCTGCACATAGCAATGCCCATCCACAACACTCTGGCTTCATGGTAGTAGGATTTGCACTGAAAACTGCACATTTCCTTAGAAAATGTAAAAATCTAATGTTAAAGTTTGTGTTAAGTCAATTCAGAGAATTGTTTCTAAACACATAATTGTTAGAAATGCATTGCTGAAACATATTACAAAGACTGTGAACTATGTAGTACTTAATTGTGGAGTTTTTTCTGTAACAGTTTTTTTTTCACCATTATTGTGTTCAGTATTTTTTTCACCATTATTGTGTTCAGTATTTTTTTGCTAAAATTGTGTCTCGATGCAATATAGCTACCGAGCATGGCCCCTCTCCTAACACTATAAAAGAGGTGTGTTCGACTTGAAGCAGCGCTGCGCAGACCGATCAATATGTGTGACATCAGAGTACAGTGAGAGCTTTAGAGCAGACGGCTCCTTATGCTTTTGAACTGCTCTTGCGGTACATTGATGTCATACAACGATTGTTCTGCGCAGCGCTGCTTTATGTCGAACACACCTAATGACTAGAGGGCATTAGCATCAGTGGTTTGCCCGTTTAATCGCGAATTACTGTCATTACCGTTAGTTACAACAGCCAGTGTTGCCAAGTCTGCGGTTTTCCCGTGGAACTGGACTACTTTAACACTGTTGCCGCGGGTTGTTTTTGATGTCCGCGGGTTGAAGCGCCTCCAATAACATGATATTCAGAATGCGAATTTAACTGGAGGAACCCTGCCGAAAAATGCAAAATGCAAATTTTTACCGGGGAACCCCCCTTGAAACACCATTGGGCTAGTTTTGAGTAGCAATAGCCTACCTACAGTTTGCTAGCTAGCTATGCCTTCGTCACGTAAATGCATATATACCTGGTTGCCATAATTTTCAAAACAGCTCGGTCTCCTTGTTTAAATTAAGCTGCTAGAGGGAGCATCCATTCAGATTGTAGAAGTATTTGACCGCTGAGAGAGACGGCAGCTTTCCCACGAGTGGGAGTGGTTTCAGTGCCGCCAGCGGACACACCCCCTGCATTTGAGATTTTGATACCTTATTTTATTTACTTGGTGTTTTTTTTTTTCATTGAAATTTGGCTGGGTGGTTAATAACACATTTTTCTGTGGTGTGACAAACTCAGAAGAACACGCATTTAATATTGCTTTACATGGACTTTAATCATGGAATTGTTCTGTGGCTACACAATATTTTTATGAGATGTTTCCTAGTTGTATAATTTTGTGTTGTTGTGGAAATGTACCATGATCATGTGAGCGCTGGCCCTGTGTGGTGTGTGCTGCTTTCAGGACAGTTACTGTACACACACACACACACACACACGTGTTTGAATGAATGAGGAGGGTCAGTAGGGACATGATGACTGCCCCCCTCTATCCACAAACAAACACGGCAGTGTGTGTACTGAACTCATCCAGTCAGCTGTGCGCCTGCAGCTTAATTACTCGAAAGCTCACCGAGTGTCTGACCTCCACCGTTAGCCTAATTGAAATTTAATTGAATTTCGCTTGTCTAGACTAATTAAGCTCCTACTGAAACCGCCAATCTACAGCCAGTCGCTGGACACCGAGCTTCAGAGGGAAAACTAGAAGCCCGGAGGAGCGCAGGACAAAGGCGGCCATTTTAGGAAGCAGCTGACAGAATGGGAAACGTGTTTAAAAATAGCAAAGGAAAGGACTTGGGTCTTAATGAGGAGGAGAGGTAGATATGAATACAGTTGGATCAGATTAGAGCACGCAGGCTCATAGATGAGCCCATTTGAAATTTGTGGGTATGGTAAAATGCATCAGCAGAAATGAAAGAACCACACTCTTGTTTCAATAATCTCTTTGATTGATTCATTACTATTTTTGATTCACTAAAAAGAACCACTCAGAAGAATCATTCATTCATTCAGGAATCAAACTAAACTCTTTAGCTGTTTCCAAAATTGTTTACTAAGTAGGTATACTACTTTTGAATAAGAATGAAATTTGTAACTGTTAAAAAACTATGTTCTGTGTAGTATGAATGTGTGTAATTTAAGGCAAATTTGGATGTCCTACATCTGACATGTTGTCATTAGCTAGGTTTCCATCCAAATGTGAGGCAAATCTTTTCAAAGTTTGCAAAAATAGAAAAAGAAAAAAAAATCCGAATTAGGTGTTTCCAGCAGGTTGTTCGAGCGGTGGTATTGGTAACTAAATAAAATAAAAATACGGAAAGGCACCATCAGCGGAAACAGCCAATTAGTCACTCGAGTTTAATGTTCGCTACGCCAGAATTTATTCGGCAAATGCATTTCCATTATTTGCATTAACTCTTTTTTCGCAAACCACTAAAGCGAGTGTAAAAACTTCTTTGCAACCGAAAGGATTTTTTTTTTTTAATTCAGCATTTAGATCACTCGTTTTTGATGCAATACTTCAAAATGCACATAAAAACAGGGTGATGGAAACAACAGCTACTGTGATGTGACTCTCTTAGCCATTTGCTTTGGTTTACACTAAATTTGGTTTACCCTAAATTACAGAAATACTGGTTGCACTGTATGGTTGATTCACTAAAAAAAAAACTAGCACAGAAGAGTCATTCTTTCAGGCAATTACAGTACACTGGTCAGACAGTATGTTTTTGATTTGCTATGAAGATCTGGCTCATAAGATTCATTGCTCAACCATCAGACTACAATGGTTGAGCTGTATGATTCATGATCAACTAGTTTCTTATAATTCATTTTTATATATCTTCTAATAATTCATTTTTATCTTCTTATAATATCATCTTATTATTCATTTTTATTATAGTTTGTGGTTTGCCAAGGAAATGTGTGTTCTGTAATTATTAATAAAGTAGAACTTATTGTGCTGGGAATGTATAGAAGTTTTGGAGTGACTACAATTTAATTTTGAATTTCTGGTACAGTTTCCATGAAATGCTCATAGCTGCTTATTTAATTCCTGAGATTGGGAACGCATTTGTGTCTACCTAGAGTTAGGGTTAAATCTTGTGAGAGCGTTTTGCAAAACGAGGGTTACCACGACCCCGTAGAAGTGCTGCTGTTTTTACATTTTCTCTCCTCCCTCACCAAAAATGCATGTGTTTGTAGTGAGGCCAAGGGCAAAGATAATGCAGTGGGAGCACTTTTTCAATTTTATTTCAATGAGTCACTTTTGGTACATTAATTTAAGCAGTCCAATCTTCCAGCACAGACCGATGGCTGTTCACTGATTAATAAGCCATCTCTTTCTCTCTCTCTCTCTCTCTCCTCAGGTGCCTCTGCAGCCTGGACAGTCATTCAAGTTCACGGTGCTGGAGACTCTGGACCGCATTAAAGAGGAGTTCCAGTTCCTTCAGGCTCAGTACCACAGGTCAGATCATATGAGCTGATTTACTCCCAGTATGTGAATGTAACGATTCAGTCCACTGAAGGCGAGTGTAGTGAAGAACCCAAGTGCAGTTTATTTACAGGTGATCCAAACAATAATCAAAGACTTGACATGAACAGACTTTACATGAACAGACTTGACTAGGCATGAACAGATTTGACGAGGCACAAACAGACTAGACTCACCGACAGCGGGTTACAACATCAATACACGACAAGGCACAATGGGAACATGA